AATAAAATGTTTAAAAAAAAAAAAAAAAAAAAGATTTCATTTCTCCATAGTTAGCAATGAGTGGAGTGAAAACTTAATCCTGGACCACCTGACTTGCTTTTTATGACACAACACGACTCTTCAACGTGACCATTTGGCGGTTAAGAGGCTTCACAAAGGCATGGCACTCTTATTTCTAGACCACTGCTCTTTCCAGAGAGGAGGCTTGATGGCATAGTGGGCTACACATTGGGCTGCTAACGTCAAGGTCAGCAGTTCAAAAGCACCCGCCACTCCATGGGACAAAGATGAGGCTTTCTACACCCATAAAGAGATACAATCCCAGAAACCCACAGTGGCTGTTCTATCCTGTCCTGTAGCATCACCATGAGTTGGGACTGACTCGATGGCAGTGAGTTTGAATGTTTTGAGTGCGTATCAGGTAAGAAGCATAGCACAGGTGGCTGATGAGGAGGCAGGTGGACTGCTAGAGCCCTGTTGTAAATGTTCGGGCTAGCCTGACACAGACAGTAACTTTGGACTAGCCCGGGACAGAAACTGGAGTGATGATTGCCTACGGGCATGACAAGGGAGGATGGGGGAAACAGGAAGCTAAAATCAGTACGAGAAGAAAATGTTCTGAAATTGATTGTGGTGATGATTGCACAAATGTTCTTAATATGATTGAATGATTAAATTGTATGATATGTGAAGTAGTTGTCAATAAAACTATTAAAGTAAAACCTGACAGGCAGAGTGGATTCTTCCAGGCCTATAGTCGCTGGGGTAGGCCCACAGCACACATCAGCTGAGAGTCATTGTTGCAATCTTCAGGCCTCCCCTGTGGCCCGGGGTTAGAGAGCATGAAGCATCCTGTGTGCCCAGGACCCAGTGTCTTCAAGTTAAAACTGAAGGACAGGGCAGGGTCAAGAGCCCCACTCCCAGTACCATAATGTGTTGACTAGAGATACAAATCCAGGGACACTCATAGACGTATAAGAGAGAACCTTATATCAAAGAGCAATTGTATCTTGAGAAAACATCCAAGCCCAGTTCAGATTAAGCCCATAAGTCTGATATTAGCCCATATGTCCAATACCAATCTATAAGTTCCTCCTTAGATTCACACAAAACATGCAATGATGCTGAATTCAGGAAGATCACAGGCCAGTGGGTGGAAAGTCTTGTGGACCCAGTGGTGGTGGAAGCATCTCAGCACTGGCAGGGGTCTCCACATGGCTCCTTCAGCTCCAGGGCTCTAGTGTAGCTTCATGTGTTTTGTCAGCAGGAAGATGAAGCAGAGAGAGCTGGCCTCCAGTGAGCTCTTTATAACTCCTTTGTGCCTCCAAATGAGGTTATCAAGCTGCAACCTGATTGACAGGCTAGACTCCACCCCTTTGCAAGTTGACAGGAGATGATGTACCTGCCACTCTCTCTCATGCCTCTGTAGCCCTGCTGTCTTGTTTCATTGCCCCTGCTCCAAGTACACGGCCTACTGAAGATGCTCCAGCTTGGCTGAAACATCAGAACCAAGTTCTGAAATCATGGGAACTGAAAGCAAGGTTTCCAGCTGACCTGGGTTTTATCTCCCTCCCTGTACTCCTTAGCCCAAGTCTGTCTTGCCCAAGCACGGATCACTAGAAGCGAGGGCCAGCTCAGGCTGCCAAAAGTCCAACCAAATTCACTGTCATCACATCAATTCCAACTCAACCGCTAAAGGACAGGGTAGAACTGCCTCCCAGGATTCTTCACAGGAGTAGAAAGCTTTGTCTTTCTTCCAGAGTGGCTGGTGGTTTCAAACTGCTGATCTTTCAGATTGCAGCCCAACATATACTGTAGGCAAATGCCTGGCCGTAGGATGGCAGAGATGGGGGCCGTGCCAGGCTCCACTTTCCATCTGGAACACCCCAGCCCACGGGCACTGAAGGTCATTCCAATGAGTGAGCACTCAACTAAAGAATTTGGGAAAAGCTTCCACACTAAGAATTCTCTGCTTTGTGAAACAGCCAGGCTGCCTTCCACGGAGCTGGGGAAACAGGAAAGACGGGGCAAGAAATGGCCATTGGTCCAGGTGCACCTGGCCTCCTTCTGGAACCTTCCCTGGCTACCTCAATCTTCTGTCCACTAGCCTTCACACATGGTGTTCGCTGAAAGCAAGGTTGGGAGGATGATTGTTTTCTGAGGCTGTTAAAAAGGAATCTGACCTCCTGGTTTATAAACTCTTAGAAGGGCCAGGAATGTTGGAAGGAAACTTGTCTCACCTCCAAGGGACTGCCAGACCCTCCATGTCCTTTTAGATATCTGGCTTTTAAGCACCAGCTAATGGCCTCTATTTTAGGAACCCTGCTGGCATAGTGGTTACACACTGGGCTGCTGGTCAGTGGTTCGAAACCATCAGTTGCGCTGAGGGAGAAAGATGAGGCTTTCTACTCCAAGAAAGAGTTAGAATCTTGGAAACCCACAGGAACAGTTCTACCCTGTCCTATCGGGTCTCTGAGTCAGAATTGATTCAGTGGCAGTAAGGTTGGTTTAGGGGGGCCTCCACTGGAAATGTTCTCACCACAAAGGGACTCCTGCAGGCAAGAGAATATACTTAGTAATAAAATCAACAGTTTTGCTTATAGTCAAATGATTTTTTTCCCTGAGAACTCTAAAGTTAATGGGATTTTTAAAACCATATCAAAAACCAAACCCACTGCCATTGAGTCCACTCTAACCCTGGCCTGTAAGACAGGTTGGAACTGCCCCCGTGGGTTTCCCAGACTATAAATCTTTATGGATATAGAAGGCTTCGTCTTTGTCCCTCGTGGTGCAGCTGGTAGTTTGAACAGCTAACCTTGTGATTTGCAGCCCAATGGATAACCCACTGTGCCATCAAGGCTCCTTTAAAAAGACAACAACAACAACACGGTCAAGCTCATTGCCATCGAGTTGATGCTGACTCATAGCAACCCTCTAGGACAGGGTAGAACTGCCCCCATGGGTTTCTGCGACGGTCACTCCTTACAAGAGTATGATAGGTAAATTACTTACGAATAAAACTGCTTGGAAAAAAATAAAATAAATTGAAGAGCAGTTAAAAAAAAAAGAAAGCAAGCCTCATCTTCTCCTGGGAAGCAGCTGGTGGTTTTGAACTGCTGGCCTTGCCATCAGCAGCCAAATGCATAACCACCATGCCCCCAAGGTGCCTGTCTTTTAAAATACAGCAGAAGGGGGAGAAAAAAGACTAGCCAATATTAACACATTGCTATGTCTAGCTCCCACGTATTTCCCTACATTTTCTGATTCTACTTTATGATGGTGATAATGACAAACACTGTCCATGCATTCCCCAGTGATATCAGTATCTGTACAGCGATAAACAAGACAAAGTCCCTCTCCTCCCGGAGCTCCTATTTCCTGGTGGACGTTGGAGGGGGACTATGTGAGACAGTGATCAAGCCTAGAGGACAATCTCAATGCGGGATGAGAGGCTGGAGCGTCCATGGCTGGGGTGATCAGAAAAGGAGAGAGGGTGAGCAGAGGCCTGAAGGAGTGCGTTCCACTGAGGTGAGGCGCTGGGGAGAGAGGCCCTGCTCCAGGGCCAGCTGGACCACCGTGCAGTCAGTGAAGGAGGGGCAGGAGCCAGGCCTCGCAGGGCTGTGGAAGGCCAGACGAGAAGTTGGGCTTGAGTCTCCGTGTGAGGAGAAGCCCGGGGAAGGTCTGAGCAGGCCTGGAGCCTCGGGCACTCACCTTCGACGGTCAACTCCACGGTCACCTGGCGGGCACCACTGCCATTGGTGGCTTCACAGGTGTACTTCCCTTTGTCCTCCTCCTGGACAGCACGGATCACCAGGCTGAAGGTCCCTCGGATACCACCCTCTAGCAGGAAACGTCCTCCGCTGGTAATGGGCTGCCCATTTCTGTGCCACGTCACCTGGGGCTCGGGGTAACCCCGGACCTGCAAGGTAAAGAAGGAAGCGTGAGCGATCCTAGTCCATGAGCACGTACTGTGCGCTACCTGCTGCCCTGGCTGCTTGAGATATGCGAATCCGCCAACGACTCTAGAAGTGGGGATTACACGGAGCTCCGTTTTGCAGCTGGGACCATGGAGGCACAGGGCATTTGGGCCAATTTGCCAAGGGAGGTAGAAAGGGTCAGGGGCGGGCATCACGGCTCCAGAGCCTACACGACGCGAGTGACTCCCAAGCCTGGCTGCACCTTAGAATCACCACGGGAGCTGGGGAAACAAGATGAACTAGTGTTGAGGCCCAATCACAGACAATTCCATCTGAATTTCAGCTGATGGGGAGTGGGAAAGGGCATCCTGGATTAGGGCCTTTCACGCTAACGTGCAGAGGAATCTCTTAGGGCCTTCTGCAAACGCAGATTCCTACTCCATACGTCTGGGGTGGGGCCTGAGATTCTGCCGGCCAGACAAGCCCCCAGAAGGCGAGATGCTTCTGGTCCCTAGGACCACTCACTTTGCATAGCAAGGTTCTGGACCTGCGCTGCTGGGGCGACCGAGAAAAGGAAGGATGGGAGAAAGAAAAGGAAAGAGTAGTTGCCGAGGCTGTTTATGTCCACCCACACACCGCACAGGTGGGGACTGAGCACCTGAAATGCAGGTTGCTCTGATGGCATTCTGTTGTGTGGATGACAGGCTTTGCCTCCAAGATGTAGCAGGAAAGAAAGAGTGCCAAGTGTCTGGACAGTTTAACAGTATTAACTGCATGGAGAAAAGAAATCAAGCTATATCACTAAAATGAATTTTGCCTTTTTACTGTGACTACCGGAACACAGTGGCTGGGGGTCCACGCGATCCCCAGGGTAGCGCTCCTCAGTCAGCCGTGTTAGCTGAGTTCCATGTGGTCAGCGTCTCTCGTGTCCAGGACACACTGCGGCTCATAAGCAACTCTTTCCACGTCAAGCTATTTTCCAAGAGAAGGTGCAAGGCAGAGAGAAAGTCCATCAGAACAATGGATTTTGAATTTTTGACAAAGTCTCCCAACGCTTCTCCAACACCTGGCACTCAACCCACACTCACTGCCCTCGAGCCGCCTCTGACTTTGTTGGACAGAGTGGAACTGCCCTGTAGGTTTCCGAGGCTGTACATCTTCACCGGAGCAGGAAGCCTCCTCTTCCTCCCGAGGAGTGGCTGCTGGTTGAATTACTGACCTATCATCCTGCAGCTCAGCACTAAGCCACGAGGGCTCCTTGGACACCCGATATGCCCTTCGCAATGGACTCCTCTTTGCAGGAGCAGGGGCCAGGTTGGCTCATCAGTGCACAGCCGGGCACACAGGACTGTGGGATTCGAGCACTCGGAAGTGCACAGGTGATAACATCACGGTAGCCTCCAGAGAACGAAGTTGCTTGTATTATAAAATGCCGGTAGCCATCTCTTTACGCCATGTATTTACTCCTACATGAGGAGTCTTGGTGGAGTTGGGGTTACGTGTTGGGCTGTGATCCACAAGGCCAGCAGTTCAAAACCACAAGCTGCTCCGTGGGAGAAAGATGGGGCTTTCTGTTCTTGTAAAGAGTTATGGTCTCACATGGGCTGGTCTGTCACACTGTCCTGTAGGGTCACTGTGAGTCAGGATCAACAGGATGGCCGTGTGAGAGAGCGAGACTCCTAGACAATAACTATAGATACATCAAACCTCGTATTCATGACATGACCCCAAATTGCATTTATAAAGAAAGCTTCCAAGGAGCTATAGCCGTAATCTTCCCTACGCAATGTTGGAGAGTGATGTTACATCAACAACGTGGTGGAGGGAGTGTTGGGTAGCACATGTGTGTCCGCAGCCCTCCCCATGCCCTGCAGGAATGCCCAAAGCAGCCATTCCCTGGGCATGCCAAGGGAAGACAGACTTGCAGGGAAAGCAACAGCGAACGTGCTCAATCCCCTTCCCTCTGGTTCAACGTCAACCCTTCGCCCATCCTTTGATCTGATTCTCAGTGGCCAGAATGCAGAAAACCTATCATTTCAGCGAAAACCTCCAAAGTGAACCATCTCCTTTCTGTTATTCCACGCAGCCACCCTCTCCAGCTTATGGATCTCTTGAGACCTGCGTTCCCACAGCCATTCGCCCATAGTCAGAAACAAAACGAGACGCAGAGTCCATGCCAACAACCTTATTCATGATTTCTGGACACAGAAGACACCCTTCCCTAAAGACAAAACAAAACAGACAGTCCTTTGAGACACTGAGCAGCCACGAGGAAGTGCTTAGATTCTGGAGTCCGTGATCTCAAAGCCGCTGTCCTCTCACAGAGCAGGCGTACCCAGCATTCTGCGGGCTGCCCAGTGGAAGGAGACCACAGCCATTTGGACATATGTGGTGTGCTAGTTCGGGTTGACTAGAGAAACAAGTCCAGAGACACTTATATCAAAGAGCAGTGTGTGTTAAGAAAACATCCCAGCCCAGTCCAGATCAAGTCCATAAGTCCACTATTAGCCCATATGTCCAAGACTAGTCCACAAATTCCTCTGCAGACTCACACAGCCATGCAATGCTGCTGCATGCAAGAAGATCACAGCCTGGCGGGTGAGAAGACTTGTGGATCCAGTGGCGGTGGAAGCATCTCAGAGCTGGTGCAGGTCTCCACGTGGCTCCTCCAGCTCTCTGGGTGAGGCTCCTCAACAGAACGGTGAAAGCAGAGAGAGGAGAGAGAAAGCTCTCCCAGGACTCAGCTGTTCTCCGCATAGATCGTCAACAGGAAGACAAAGGCAGAGAGAAGAAGTTCCCAGAATCCTCATGAGAAGGCCATGCCCACAAGGAGGCACCATCAGGCTGTGACCTGATTGACAGGCTAGACTCACCCCTTCATTCTTAATACCCTCCAGTTGACACAAGATTATGTAAGTACTACATGTGGTCTCACACATCTATGATAATCTGAAAGACGTGTCAGCAATGGCTGCCCCTGGGTGGGTAGGATTGTGGGTCTCTCCTCTTCTCCTCTTACTTGATCATTAAGTTCCAATCATTATGCAAATAATTCTGTTGATAAAACCGAATTTTTATCAATGCATCTGTAAATATCACACCAAACTCAAGTCACTGCCACCTGGTCCATTCCGACTCATTCATTTGCTTCCATTCTAGCAATGGAAATGAGAGAGCTATACCAACCAATACAGTGCAAGTCTGGATGTGACAAATGCCAGACAGCCTACAAAGTCATGTTATCTTGTGGCCCTACGTTAGCAGAAAGGTCTGCACAAAGAAAAACCATTACCCTGCTAAGGCTTTAGTCTTCTCCTTTTCAGAAAAGAACTAAGGAAACCTCCTGGAGCCTGGCCCCAGAGCAATTCACAGACCATCATTCTCTTGTCCTTCACCCATTAAACAGGTCAAGTAGGGCCAGCCTAACATCCGGTTGATCACCCCTGCTTCTGTCCACATTGGGGGAGGGGAGGGTAGAGCACTCCAGTGGGGAGGAGATAAATCATTAACTGCACCAAACATGTCCTTAACATTCCATCAGCAAGTACGCAGGCCCCCTGCAGCAGGGCCAGCCCTGGTGGCTTGTCACGCCCAGAGGTATGAATGATTAACTGAGGACATTGCAAGCATTCCAGCCCTTGGGGACATGGATTTCTTTCTCCTATTTACACACACATACACACACACACACACACACACACACAATCTCTGAAATATGCTGGGAAGGTCCCTGCTGAAGTATCCAGGGATTTTTAAATATGCTGAAATTGGCACCACTTACACAGCTGGAGTGTGCAAACGGCAATTTTCTAGCACCCTGCACTGAGAGGAAAGCAGGAGTTGCTTAGCTCCAAGGTCCAAATGATTTTGGACTTCCACTCTTGTCTTCCCAATATGGGAAAAACTTGTTCAACTACTCCCAAAAATGACCTAAAAATTATTCAGCCCCAAGTACAGCCACGCTTACTGTCTGCCCCTACACTGGGCTCCTGGGTGGGGAAGGAGGAGATGTCTTGGCCCTGAGCCTTGGGACACACACGGGAGTCCAGCAGCAGGAAGGGCAGCCCCAGTCCTGCCCTCCCGGTGTCTTATCAGCCTTCACCCCTGACTTTCACCCAACAAGCCGCAATTGGGGCTTCTGTGGGTAGGATCGCCACCAAGACTACTGTAGCAGCCCACTGACATCTAGTTTTCAGAGGACCTCCATGTACAGACCTTAATTTGACTCTTTAAACACGATGAGGCTCAGGTCTTAGGTTCGAACCTGGAACAAGGATTCAGAGAACCCTGTCTGCAAACTCTTCGCTGTCAACACTCACCGCAGTTGGGGGCTGGGAGCACTGGCCTGGTGCAGGGAGCTGGGAGGCCGGGGGCAGAGAGGGGACGAGAGGGAGGCACCGACAGTGCCTGCGACACCAAGGCTGATTGCAGACAGCCTTCAACAGGGCTTTCGGACCAACACAGACTAGGAAGAAAGGCCTGGTGATCTACTTTCAAAGCAGAGCCAACAGAACTCAGACGGATTCTGGACTACTGCTCAAGACCCCATGCACGCACTTGAGTTATTTACTCAGCTATGTCACTGTGATTTGGGTGAGGGTTTACTGGGAAAATTGGTTCCCGTGATTCGCACACATTTTTTATTCCCCTGCCATCAGTTGTGCCTGCGCTCATCCCTCCATCTCCCCAGCGAAGGCCTGACAGCCATGGCTGCCACCACGGCCTCGGGCACAGCAGCCATCGCCAGGGCGCTGTAGGACCAGGCTGCGCTTCCTCCGGCCTGAGACCCGGGGTCACCGCAGCGTGGTGAAGAAGAGACCAGGGAAATGGGTGATGTCCGTGACCGCAAGCCCCGGGACCAGCTCTCTACCCCTCTTTGTGAGTTTGTGGTTTGGGGTGGCGAAACACAGTAGCACCCAACGCGTGGATAAGTCTTTCTCTAAGAGGCCCTGAGCCTTTTACATGTAAAGCAACGTCTGCTCCCTACTTTTGGCAAAGGCCA